CCCCCACAGAAGAACCTACTGATTTAGAGACTTCCCGTATAACTCTAGGTTGGGTCAAATGAACAGTAAAAACTCACCAGCACAGGCACCATCTCAAACTCACAGCCATGGTCAGCTCTGGCTCCCTAACAAAAATGCCATTAACTATATGACTTAAACCACAAACACAAGTTTCTTACGGCTCTGGGGGATTGGGGCGTCTGAGGCAAAGGTATTGGCAGACATTCTGAGGTGATGTCTCACTTCCTGGTCTGCAGATAGCTAAATTATTGTTCCATCCTCACATGGGGCAGAGGAGAGAAGAGAGTGAGATGTCATCAGGTTCTCTCTCTCTCTCTCTCTCTCTCTCTCTCTCTCTCTCTCTCTCTCTCTCTCCCTCCCTCTCCCTCTCCCTCCCATCATAAAGGCACTAATCACATCCTGGAGGGCTCTATTTCACAATCAAGTTACCTCCCCAAATCGCCACCTCTAAATACCAATGCGTTGGGAATATTGGGGGGTGGGTGATCTTAACATATGAGTTTTGAGGGGGAACAAGTCTTCAGTTGACAACACAACCAATCAGAATCTGATTTTATGCAAGGTTCCCAAAAGTTAAGCCAACACATCAACAAAGTCTGAGTACCACCGTTTTTATAGACTTATCTTACTGATCTTCTCAGTGTCCTAAGGCAGAGAGGCCTTTGTGGTCACGCAGTCTTTGTGTCAGAATGAAGACTTAAATGCTGATAGGGCAGTGGTACACCTGCAACTTGTCAAAGGGCGGGGTCTTCCCGTAGTCTGTGTCCCGCTGCAGGGAAGCTGACAGCGCAGTGAGAAGAAGAGCAGGAGAGAGGCAGAGGCTTGTGTCTTAGGGCAACCACGGCACACATGTCCACAGCCCCAACACAGAAAACCATGAGGCTGCTACAACAAAGGTGCATCTATGTGTACATCTCAGGCCAGCATCGATTTCAACAGGTGATTAAGTTAATAACAGCTCTTTGGAAAAATAAGACAATCACCGTCATAAATGGACATTCCCACTTGGGAGTCATTTCAGAAACATAAAAATCAAGAACAAGCCTATCTCTGGATCAAGGAAGTATGACGAAGAGATACAAGGTAAGAATCCAAAAACAATTGGGAGAAAAGTGGAAGTTGGAAGACAGGTGTGATCAACCACATAAGACAATGGGCGCAAACAGATGATGAGCCTGAAGGCGTCTAAGGGTAAACCACAGAGGGAGGAAGCACGCGGCTTGGCGGGAGCATTGGTGCTCTGGATTTGGCTTATAAACTCCAGGCTCATGACACACGTTCAACCCACGTTCTGTATCCATTAACTTGTGCTGAGAGATATTTTTCTTAATAACACATTTTTATGTGATTGATAAGAATAACCCCTATTCTTAATCTCTTTTTTGGCAACTGATCTTAAACATTTTAAAAAGTCTGTCATTTTCAAATCCATACATTGAGAGTAGGGAAACAGTTTTTGTTTTATATATGGATTATTAATTATTATATGTTTAATCAGCATATAAAATTGTACAAACTTATGGGGACTCATGTGACATTTGGACACATGTATATTTGTGTAATGCTCAAATAAAGGTAAGTGTATCAAACTCCTCAGTTACTATTTTTTTTGTGGTAAAAATATTCAACATTCTTTCTTACATGTTTATATTTGGGAAAAATATACAGTATGTTATGACCATGTGGTCACCTTCCCGCATACATCCCACCAGAGTATTTCTCTCCCTACTTGTAACACAGGACCCACCGATCAACCTCTCTCATCAAATGTGTTTTATCCGAGTTTCTAAATCTTTCTGTAGAATTTGTTTGAGTGAATTTTTTTCATGTGGTTCTAGATCAATTGATATGTAGAAGAGAACACAGGGTAAGTTAAACTTAAAGCAACAAGTCCGATTTGCTCTTAATTTACAAAGTCTGCAGATGTAAAGTTGTAATACTAATACCCTACAGTAGAAGAATTTTAAAGAGAAAATGAAGGAACTGTGGAATTGCAATTTTTCAATGGGAGCATAATTGAGTCATAAATATTTGACAACCCCGTCTTTTTAAATAATACACGGATTGTATAATAAAAGACACTCTGCATAGGGTTAAATATGGGCATATTCCTAGACTGTATAATAAAAGACAGGCTGCACAGGGTTAGATATGGGCATATTCCTAGATTGTATAATAAAAGACACTCTGCATAGGGTTAGATATGGGCATATTCCTAGAAATGACTTCATTGCACCAAACTTGTCTGTTTTTCCTCACTGCTTAAGATCTTTCCGGTACTTCCCTCTGTTTTCGGGATGGAATTCAAGTCTGGTGGAGGTGTTTCAAGAGCCACGGTGTAAAGTATGGGTACTGGTGTTCCCAGCCCCACTGGTCCCTCTCAAGCCACCATCAGTTCTTATGTGTTGGCCTCATTGCCGTCTTGTATCACCTACCAGCCGAAAATGTGGTTCACGACCTCACGTGGGGTTGCATAACTGAATGTGGGGGGTATTGAAAACTCTGGCAACAGTGTGCAGTTTCTCAATACACAATAACAACGTGAATGTAAAATTGAATGTGTGATGAATGTGGGATGTTTCTGGCAGTGTTGCTGGTGCTGAATCAGACAACATCACTGAGTCCTTGGTTCTGAACATGTAACAGGAACACTTGGCATTGCCCACGATGCCCCCATGTGATGGCAACGGATGTGACATGAAAGGACTTGACTTACAGTCAAACCTAGGGAGTGTTATGAATCTCAGTGTTTTCACTGTACAGGCAAGAATTTCACTCTTACAGAAATGCAGTGATTTACTTAAAAGAAACAAAAACTTGGGGGCCGGCGAGAAGGGCTCAAGTATTAAGAGCACCGGCTGCTGCTGCAGAGGATCCTGGTTCAGTTCCCAGTACACACATGGCAGCTCACAACAGTTCTAGGGATCCACCACCGTCCTTGGCCTCTGCAGATATGAGGCACACAACTGGGCACAGACATGCATGAAGGCAAAACACCCCACACAGAAAAATAAATAAACAAAAAATTAAAAAATACTCAAAAAACCAAAATGACTTTTTAATACTTTCCTTCCTCAGATTATAAGTATCAGATTCATTTATCTTTCGATTGTATGTATTATGTTAGAATTTTGATTTTTAAAAACTGCTATTTTTGCAGTGGAATCTGGAATTGCAACAGAATTTTCCCAATTTCTCAAATGATCCTAAATGTATTTCTGTCATTTTATAATGGAAATATACATGAAACAGTATTAAATTTCATTTGCTTTCTTGGGGAAGCATTTAAGGTTTGTTTGTTTATTTAAGAGGCAAGGAATAAACACTAGGCTAGAGAGAAAGACTCCAGCCTTTCATTCTTGATAACCGGGTGCTACCGGGGACCCTCTTCCTCATCTAGAAGCTTTAGCCTCACGAGGAGGAATGTGAATAAGTCACTCTGACCTCCCTGTAGCTCTCACTTCGATGTCCTTCATGTTCCTTCTCATTTCTCAGCAGAGTTTAGTCTCTTCTCCTGCCCATGAGCATGAGCATTCCTTATGTTTCCTTGGTAAGAAATCACATATGTGCAAATCTCCAGCAGCCTGTTGACTGTCCATGAGAATGAGGTTCACAACACAGCCATCGTTCATGCAGGGCTGGAAGGCAAACACGGGTCAGCAGCACAGCTGTCTGTCGTCAGGTCACCTGCGCAGAGCTGCCCATAGGTCACCTGCTCAGCCTTGCAGTGTCCTAGGTATTACTTTACAACTGAAGTTTTCAGTCCAAAAGTCTCCTTCTCCAAAAAGCACAGAAGCCTTTGTGAGCGACACGTCACTTGTACCACCAATCTCCCTCTCTAGTCTCAATCTTAGATTTGAACAATGATATTCTGGGCAACTCCAATTGCTTGTGGATCTTTCTGCTGCTGTCCTGGTTTCGCCCGCTAGGCCTTCCTTGTAAGATTAGCAAGACTGTCCCCAACAGATGCTAAAAATGCCATTCAGCAATGTGAGCCCAAGGTACCCTCCATGCTCTCTGCTTACCTCTTGCATATTTTTCTGAACTCAGTTCTCACAAACCTTCTTTCTCACTTGGAACACAGCTGCTTCCTTCCTTTAAAACTGCCCAATAAGACACTCCCAAATAGACACCACTCCTAACCTCTCCAACTGCTGGTCAGTCCCCAAAGATTCCTGGAATCCAATTTACCAGCTGCCTTACCCACCTGCAGCCCCACTGATGAAGGCCTGGCAGACTCCCCTCCTCATGTCCTGCCCAGCCTGCCAACTCCCAGCCAGTTCCCCATCCAACTTTTCCACCCTAGGCAAGCTTGGGCCAAGCCCACTCTGAGCTAACAGTTCAGAAATTCCTTATCAAATGGCCACAGCATCGGTCAGTAGAGCAAGACGATGAAACCAGAGCCACTAGGAAGGACCACTGGGACGTTTGGAGACATGGAACTTCTGGGCCCCTTCCTCACTCATCTCTTAGCCATTTTCTTTTGCCTTTCCAGTTAACACAATTAGATCCCCCCAACCCGCCGCCACCAAGGTGAAAATATTACAGTTAAATTTTCATTTCCCATTTAACTTGTGATTTAAAAAGAATAAAAGGGAAAAGAGCACTGCAGATTTAACTATGGATAAAAATAGCCATGTTGTCTTAAAGTCATTAAGTGAACATAACGGGCTCTTTGTGATCTCAGGCTATCTGGAAGCTGGCATCTGTCACCACCCTCTGTCCTCCTCCAGAAGCGAGGCAGTCCGATCAAGGATTCCATGCTTCATGGCACCTTGAGAGTCGGTGCTCCAACGTGCCCATCAAACCTGCCACTCTCAACAGCGGTCACTGGGTGACTCCGTGTCCCTCCTCCCAACACCGCTTTTTGCATGAACAGGTCTGGCCCACATGGTGTCAGGAGAGCCTCGCAGGGCTGCTCAGGGGAGCCTCGCAGGGCTGCGTGTGCTGCACGCCCATCAAGCTTCCAGGCGCCTCACCTGGCCTTGCTCTGTCCGTTCCAGCACTCTTCCTCGTTGGATGTGCCTGCTGTCACGCTCTCATCCTTGCAGATGGTGTAGGGCAATGCCGACCAGACCTTTTTAGAGAGCTTCAGTTTCTCTTTGATGTCTGTGACCTGATCAAGAAACCAAGAAAGAGTGTGAGGAGACGCGTCAGGCTCTGCTTGCCTCTCTACGTAAGGATGTAAGGAAGTGAAGGCGCAGACCTGCGACCCAATAGGCCCAAGCTACCATTTTATTTTTGTTTTTGTTTTTCGAGACAGGGTTTCTCTGTGTAGCTTTGCGCCTCTCCTGGAACTCACTTGGTAGCCCAGGCTGGCCTCGAACTCACAGAGATCCGCCTGGCTCTGCCTCCCGAGTGCTGGGATTAAAGGCTTGCGCCACCACCGCCCGGCCCAAGCTACCATTTTAAACAGAACGGAACCGGGCCAGAGGGCTCATTGCCCAGGAAGACTCGACCTCCACTTCCCTCTCGTTCTTCCCAGGTTATTGGCTCCCCGTTTTTCCTCTTCTCTGTCCTGTCCTTTGAATAAAATACTAAAGAAGTGTCTTTGCTGGTTTTGGGCCACTCTATTGCAGAGAGTACCTGCTGCAAACACCCTAAATACATGCTTTAGTATATGTTTCCTGGGTGCCAGATAAATGTTTCAAAACAATGCACAAAGAGAAAAAAACACATTTCCCAATGGACTATTTGTTTCTGCAAGAAATAAGTATTATTGCTAGCTCAGCTGCTGATAATTTCTGCTCTAGTCCAGCCAACAGGCTCAAAAAGAATGCATTTGGTTGGTGAACAGTAAACTCAATGCACCTCAAAGTTTCTAGTACCCAAAGATGGCAGTCAATCTAAATATGAGCATCAGTGTAGCTCTGAAGGCTGTAGGGCTTTTATTACCATTTTATTACCAAACGAGGCATTTCCAGCTTAGTACTGACTTCTTCCCTGTGGGGAAGGGAGGGATAAGGATTTGGTGCCATTTTGGCTCCATCATGAACATCTAGTTTCATTCATTTCATGCAGTCAGTGTCCTGATTGCCCGGCCATTCTTTACAAACTCTGAGAAAATTCACAGATGGATAAAAGGCATCGGCTAAGGTTGCACTGAGTCCCCACAAGTTAGCACTTTTGAAGTCCTGACCCAAAGAACCATAGAAGGTGTTATCATTTTGAGATGGGGTCAAAGTGAGTCCATTGAGACAGACTGAAAGTCGGGAAGGCTGGATGGAAGATGGGAACACAGCGAGAGAATGAAGGCGTGACCCGGGAAGAAGATGGCCATCTACAGGCCAGAAACCTGTCCTTGCTGACAGCCACAGAAGGAACCAATGCCGCAGACACCTTGACTTCTTCCTCCTCTGACGCCCAGACTCAGGCTCAACGCTGTGTGCAGCCAAGAGTCCACACGCCACAGGTGGACCTCATCACAGTCTAGCCAGCAGCAACCTTTGCTCCTTCTCATCTCTGTGCTTTGCGAGGTAAGGGCAGGTTTGGAAATTATCTCATCCTCCGTGGTTGGAAATGATTGAATGACCATTCATCCCTGTTTTTGACTTAGGGAACTCAGGGTGCTAAACTTATAGAAAAAGAAAAAAAAGCCAATAAAACCAGGATGGGTTAGTAACATGTCTCCACATACCGTGTTTGATAAATGTGCAGCGAGATAATAGTTTTAATTATCTCATCCTGTTATGAGTTCATAGACAATGTTACAAACACTACATAATTGAGGGTCATAATAATGTGTGTCCTGCATCTCCTAAAGGCTGCAGAGAAGCAGGAGACTATCTCCGGCTGTGGAAGGAGCCCCTCATGAGGATCAGGTGTGGCACCTCCCTGATTGCTCACTGTACCACATTTTATAACCAGGGCATGTTCTCTCCAGCATTTTGGTAGCTGTACATTTTCATTGTACAATTCAAGGAGATAACAGCAAAGGAGCAGTGAGAAATGTAAATGCTGTTTTAGCATTCTGCATGACTACCAGGCAATTCACCTGCAGCTTGCAAAGGCAGGCCGACAGCTGAAAAAATGGACACTATTAGTCACTGGGCAAGAACATGCCTGCGATTTAAAGTATACTGGAATGACAGGAGTTTATTTCCAGTTTCAGGGAAATCTTTCAGTTCTCACACTGTTCGGAAATACTTATCGAATCCTACTTGCTGTTTTGATTTCTGTATTACAGATGTAAGTGCTTTGCAATACCCCAGACCTGAGCTTTCTGCTTTGTTTTCCTGGAACATAAGGGCCTGCCACTGTAAGCAAAGCATTATGTCACAAGTACTCCAGAACAAATGTATTACGGAGAGCCACATCTACCGGACCACAACACAAACTCAGTGGAAACAGAGGCCTGGGGTCTTCATAACAGCTTCCTTTCCTTCTTGGCATCCCAGATGAGTTATTCTAGGATGAATCCTTCACCACACTGGTAAGTACTAGTAGCCCAACATTGTAGGAAAAATACTGTCGTCACAGCAGTATTTGCAATGGTCAAGTGTGAAGTTTTTTGCCTATTTTATGGGCCTTCTGAAAAATCTTGTTATCCTATAGGAACTTGATCCAAACATACACAGTTGGGGTTCACAGAGAAAACCTAACCCATCTTTTAGTACATCTCTGGAGTTTATGTTTGACAGTTTGAACGGCTACATTTCTAGAGCTGTATCTCTTAGTTTAAGGCCTGTGAAAAAGCCCATGGGAAGCTGACTCCATGGGAAGACTGTGGAACTGTTCCTCTATCCACCCTAAAGTAAGTCAGAAACTCACAGCGTGGAAAGCAAGGCCATAAGGCAAAATAACCATTAAAGCCAGAGATGCGTAAAATCAAAGACTAGATAGGAAGAACGTTCAGTCACTTTAATTTGATGGTTTCACTTAGGAAACAAGCTCACCTCGAATATTAAATTCAAATTTCATGAAATTTCTAACTTAACTTCCAATTTTCAGCAGACACTAGGGCTAGAGGAACCAGCTGAGCAGGAGCATAAATAAATAATCAGACACATCCGGGGAATGAGACATTAGAGAAGACAACGGGCCTCAACTCCTCAAAAGAGTGCAAGTGAATAAATAAATCAATAAAGGCAGGAAGACCGTTCTAGATGAAAAGGAACTGTGAAACACACCGACCAAATGTCGTGCACAGGACCTTGCCTCAGTCTCAGATCTGGAGGCAGGCACCCAGCTGTAAGAGAGAGTTTTGAGAGAGCAGGCCAGTTTTGAGTGTAGGACAGGTACTAGTTGAGAATATTGAATTACTGTTAAGTTTCTCGAGTGTAGTAATGATCATGTGGCTGTGAGGGATTCTCTTTTAGGAGGCTCATGTTGAGATATTTAGGGATCAAATGTCCTTATGACTTTTACTTATTTGAAGAGAGCAAACAAAACAAAAGCCTTCAGTCACTGTTGAATCCACTAGAGGAGTATACTAATGCTGATTTTACTGATTTCTCTGTAGTCATTTCATTTCAGAAGTGTTTTAAAAAGTAAAAAAAAAGAAAAAATCTGAAACATTGAGGATGTAGGGGAGTAATGATGTACTGTCAGTCACATAGCTGTTAGGAGTCTACCTAGAAGTCACTGACTCCCAGTGCAGGGTGACTGACTCTCATGGGAGCTAAGCCACTTCAGGTTTCACAGCTCTGTCTTGATGAGCTATTGTCGCCACATCCTTTGCACAACAGGGACACAGAGGTCTTGAGCAGCTAAAACATCTAGTCATATATCTAGTAAGTGGGGGAGATGAGACGTAGATTCAGATGTAGACGGAATAGTTACTCTTAACCACTAGACTCTCAGGTGTCATTGCGGGCAATTTTGGCTCAAGGCCTGGGGCACTGGGGATGAGAGTCCTATGCATATCTCTGTGGATGTAGGAATGACTCACCGAGCTCCACACATTAATGATCCCGTTTCTATGTTTAAAATATAAAAAGATAAGAGGAACTGCACTTTCCTAATGTTCCATGTAGAGATTAAGATTGCAGCCAGGCCATGTGGAGATGACTTTTTCCAGCTGTGAGATGGAAGGGATAAAGTCTTCCACAAAAGGAAGGTGTCATTGGGACAGTGCATGTGTGGACCCATGCATGGATAGATGAGATTCTGTGGTTTTCATCAACTTATTAAATAGAACATTGAGTTTAAAGTATCTTTTGAAGAGACACTTTGAGTTTCTTTCAAATAACAAAAGCACATGGGCACAAGGATGGTTGGTTGGATGCATTCCTGTTCCCTTGGCAATGAATTTGTCCTAAGATCCTTGTAGATGTCCCGAACTATGCACATCACGGAGTCTTATGTTTTTTTTTTTAACCTCCATATGCATACCTATGATAAAGCTTAACTTGTAAATTACTCATATTGAGAGCTGACAATAACTTATAACAAAACAGAACATTACATTATATTATAACGGAAGTTAGGAGAGTGTGGTTTCTCTCACAGCGCCTTACTATCCTGTACTGACTCTTCCTCTCCTGATGAGGAGGGGGGGGCAGGGGGGATGGAACACCAGCATTAGGAGGTAAAGTGAGGTGAAGGATACACATGGTCTGTGGTCTTGAGTTACTGTGGAGGTTTTCATGGTACATGAGAAGTAGCATCTGTTTTGAGTGCTGCCTGATCACAGTCATTACAATGTACCATTAGGTACTGGATAACGGACGTGTCCTGTCTGGTGCTTGCTTTGGGGAGTTCATAAAGCATACACTGCATGAGTTCAGTAGGGATGATACATAACTTAGGCAAAAATAGTCGTAAGTACATGAAGAGTCTATGACCCTGAACATTTTGCTGAGGGAGGAACAAGACTGCCTGTTTGTAACACAAGGCTCACGTGGCTTATTTGAAATCAGTGATTTGGCAAAAAAAAAAAAAAAAAATCAGTAACATTTAGTGACTTCAGTTTAGTCAGACAGGAAGGAGGAGACAATTTTTCTTTCAATACATTGGCAGAAAAAGGCAGGGGGGAGCATTTGCTGCCAGCATTCCTGCATTAAGCACTTATGCCTCTTTATAGGTCAGATTTTAAGCTAGACTGAGAATGTGAAAATGGCTAGTACACCATGGCTACCCTTGAAGGATGTGTAGCTGCACCATTTGGTGGGTGTG